ATACTTTGGGTTTCTCATATAAGAGAAAACATGCAATATTTAAGCTTATGTGTCTGATTTATTTTACTTAACATTATGGTCTCAAGGTGCATCCATTTTCCTATAAAATGACTCAAGTGTATCCTTCTTTATGACAGAGTAGTATTCCACCATGTATAAATACTGCATTTTGTTTATCATTCATCTGATGATGGACATATGGGCCGCTTTTAATATTTAACTATTATGAATCGTGCTGTATGTACACACATGAGTATGTGTGTGTCCAGGTAATACGTGTCTTTAACTCTTTTAGAAAGATACCTAGAAGGGGGCTAGCTGAGTCAAATGGAATTTCTATCATATTTCCCCCAAAATAATACTGGGTCTTATATTAATTTTTGCTCCAAAAGATGCAGTAAGGCTCATTTTCAGGGGAGGCTTATTTTTTTCATGTACCTGCATTCACGTACGAAAATCTACATCTATTCACATAAACACAGAAGTGTCATCTTCTTCTGGAACACTGTCGACACTCTGCAGACCCTGAATTCTGGCCTGAATTTCTTGTGACTCCGTTTCCTGTAGAACCGCGGGCTCTAATCTCTTGAGTCCAGCGAAGGGGCCCTCCTTAAAACAGCGCTTCTCATCCACATAGCCCGCTTAGAGTGCCCTGGTGACACAGCTGTCAGGGATTTTACCGCATGAATTCTTCACCCAGGTCACAGCCTCTCGCAGGCTTCATAGAGCTTCGCTTTCATCTGGCGTTAACTGACGACTTGGGAGGCGGGCGTGACAACAAAAGTGCTGACAGTCAAGAACGATGGGCCGCAAGAAAGTGATGAAAATACACAGCCACCAAAATTCAGGAGGCACTTTTTGCTTCCTATGGATGCACGCAGCACGTCTGTTACGACACATGTACTGAGTTATGAAGATTCTCATCGGACAAGACCACATCCGTTCCTCCTCAAGTGCACGCTCTGTCTGAGAGTTGACGGACTGATCATATAGCAACAAGTCTCGCATCTATCTGATTACATAGGTGTTTGCCTCTTGTCCAATGGTGCCTGTGTGGGTATTTACAGATAAGTCATTATCATTTTATTAGCCTTGAAGTATAAACGTCACAGTATCGTTCGTTAATATTTAATATAGGTTAATGTTTTATAATTCAGTGTGCCCATTGTGTGTTGTAAGACGTGCTCAGTGCATCTGGCTGGTGATCTTAACTAGCACTTCTTTGGGGGTGGGCGTTACATTATGAGCACCTTGAAAAATCATGCTGGGGCTGGTTTTCTGGTTCGGTCTTATCTTCAGGGAAGTGTGGTAAACACCAAAGCTCATCAACAGCGCGATTTCCTCTGGATTCCTCTGTGAGGAGCTCAGTCATTGCTCCTGTGTCAGCAGCTGACAGATGCAACTGATCGACACCATTTTGTCAACTTGTGAACACCTACAGCCACGGATGGGTCTCATTTGTGATCCTGCAAGTTACAAAAAGAGAGAAGAAAGTTCCGTTTCTTGGGGATAAAGAATGTAGAGAGAGAGCAAGGACAAAAATTTCTTCACCTTTGCTTTTCCATTTTTTTTCAGGAAGAATGGACTTTAGACGGAGAACAATAAAACAACCATAGCCCAGGAGGCTGAAGCAGAAGGATTGCTGTGAGTACAAGGCCAGCCTGGGCTACGTAGTGAAGCCAGCCCACACTGCCTAGCAGGACCCTGTCTCAAAAAGCCTAGCCAAAACAAGGCCAGACAAAACAAAACAAAAAAAGGTTTTCAATTCAGGGGATGTAAAGAAAATCAAGACGCACACAGGTATCAACTCCCACAATGAATGTAATCAATATGTAAGTACTGCAAACACGGAGTGATAAAAAGACAATTTTAAAAGATTTCTGAGCCATCTCCCGTTACTTTCAGGATGTGTTTGTTCGGGGACAGAACAGGACAGATGAAGCTTCTGGGCTTACAAATGCCAGAGCTGCAAGAGTCACAGCTTGGCTTCAAAGTAAGGACAGGAGTGAGGCCCGGGCCCTGTCAGGAAGCGCCTGGCCCATGGATGTGTGCAGGGGCTGGGTCACCCCGGAAAACCGTGCACATTAAACCAGTCAGAGGAGGAACGGGACTCACGGGACTCATAAAGTATAAATTCATTCATTCATTCAAAGTTGCCTACTAGCATGTGCCAAGTGCTCAATAAAGGTTTTTGGAATTAAAAAAAAATCAGTCCCCAGCCATGTGATAAACAGCACCACAGATGTTTGTTTGGTTGCTTGCTTGCTCTTCTGTTGTCTTTCAGACAGGATCTCTCTGAGCAGTTCAGGCTGGCCTTGGACTCACTGCGTCACCCAAGCCGGCCTTAAACTGTAGGATCACAGGCGTGCGCCTCCACACCCATTTGACTGCTCTGCTTTAGTTGAGTCTTCTTGTTTGTAAAAGTTTGGAGCAGCGAGCAAAAACTGTCCCTGGGTTTTAGAAGAGAGAAACAACCACGAAGATGAGCACCGTCCTTAGGGGCAGGTGTTTGACTAGGAGGTGGCGGTAGAGAATCCCCTCTGAGATCACGCTGCCCTGGTAATCTGAAGGGAGAGAGAGAAGGGTGGAGCTCAGCAGTGGAGCTTTGCCCTGGGGTCACAGGTCCTGGCCCGCTTTCACAGGAGCACTCTGACAAAATCCTGCACTCAAGGGGGAGCTGTCGGCTGATTCATGAGTGGGACCTCAGAACTTTAAAGCGCCTGATTTACTTGGAAATGCAGAAGAACTGGCACCTTGACTGCGAAGCCAGTCGATTACCCCAGTTCCATATGCATTTCTGGAGCCAGGTGGGGTGGTGCACACCTATAGTCCCAGCACTCTGGAGGCTGAGGCAAGAGGATCCCTGCAAGATCCAGGCTAACCTGAGCTACATCGTAAGACCTTGTCTAGAAGGATATGATAAAAAAAAAAAGCAACAACAACAAAATAAACATTTCTGAATCGGGCTTCTATTCCTTTAAAAACCATGTTTACCGTCAAATGAGTTTAGGCTCAGAGAGGCCCTCTTTATAGAAGTGCACATGAAGAAAAGGACCTTTCAGAACCTTCAGAAGATATGAAAAGCTTCTTTGACACCAGCGCATCTGGAAACTGACTTTTGATGGGCTGCTGCTGGCTGCCACGAGCCCTTTAAGCAGATTCAGTCACTGCCTTTATGTTTCAGATTTAATCGTTTGCTTATTCCTATTACACTCAGTAAACTAAATATTCTGAACTCTCTGCTGCTCCCTGAAACTGACAGCATAAGGAACCTCTTCTCCAGTACTTTCCCATCGATCTGCACATCTCAAGCTCTAAGCCTGGCATGGTGATATATGGACTACAATCGCAGCACTGGCTGAGGCAAGGGGACCGCCATGAGTTCGAGGCCTGCCTGCGCTACATAATGAGACCCTCTCTCCAACAATAAAGAAATAAGTAAATAAAAATGTAAAAAATAAAACAAAATGCTTCTTTCTGGGAATTTCTCCAGCAGGGCCAGCCGGTGAGTGCCTCAGCTCAATCCATGGGATTCTAAGGAAAGCAAAGTCCAGGGCAGGAAAGAAATTCGTGGGACCTAGGACTTCCGGCCGCCAGCTGCTACAGAAGGCCCCCGGGTAATAAGGAAGCGCAGTGAAAGCGTGGGGTGGCTGGACGACCGGTGCAGAGCTCACAGCTGGCTGCTGAAAGAATCCTGTTTCTTCCTGCTCTGTTTCATCTGTTTCCTCAGGTTCCAGCTTTGAAACTCTGCCAGAGGAGCCCACGGTCAGCCTCAGGAGCCAGCTGCTACAGGAGGCCCCCGGGTAATAAGGAAGCGCAGTGAAAGCGTGGGGTGGCTGGACGACAGCTGGCTGCTGAAAGAATCCTGTTTCTTCCTGCTCTGCTTCATCTGTTTCCTCAGGTTCCAGCTTTGAAACTCTGCCAGAGGAGCCCACGGTCAGCCTCAGGAAACCTTTGACTGGGCCCTGGAGTTGTCGGCCAAGAGCCCCAGACTCTTGCACTGATCCCTGGGACCTGTCCCCAGGGAACCAGAAGGGATGGGCTGTCTGCCAGGGGCCGAGCAGAAAGCAGCCCTTGTGGGCAGGGAGCCGCCTCCCACGGCTGGGCGGGGATAAGGGCTCTTCTGGTGGTTCCCTAGGGAGACTCAGGAGGCGCAACCATGCTGAGTTTGTGCCGCGCGCGCGCGTGTGTGTGTGTGTGTGTGTGTGTGTGTGTGTCTGTGTGTGTGCTTGGCCAAAAAATATCCTGTTAAAGTGGAAGAGACACACGCCTGTAATCCCGGCACTCAGACCACAGCGGCAGGCAGGTCACCCAGGAGTTCAAGACCAGCCTGAGCCACACAGCAAGACCCTGTCTCAAAGAAGAAAAAAGAAAAGGAAAAAGAGAAGGGTGGGGAGCCGGATAAGAGACAAATACTTGGAAAGGGCGAGCACTCGGTGCAAATGGGAAGGCGACCCCGAGACGGACAGGGTTAGGAAGAAGCAGAACCGAGACGTGTTGCATCCGGTACCAGTCCCCCACGGGGAGTGCGAGCATTATGTACGGCAAATGTGTACCAAAATGGACACACATTTCAATGTACAAGTCCAGCTCGAGCGACGGTGGGGCACCGAACATTCCCGCCGTCCACACCCGTGCGTGGTGAATGAACGCTCAGCCCCCGGCAGGAAGCACGATGCAAGGCGTCAACACAGGGAAAACCAGACCGTCCGCAGGGAGCCACCTACTCCCCAAAAGAAAATAATTTGAGATAATGCATTGCCTGTACCCGATTTAACCCTGGTTTCATTCCTGTTGATTAATTTTCACTATTACTTTTTCCTGGCCCGATTTAAATTTTTCTTCAATCAAACCTAACAGGGGGAAACCTCCTAGTTCCAAAACCTTTTGACATACATGACTGCGTGTAAGTCCCAGAACCACCAGTTTGGAAAACATTAAGGCTTAGAAGTTTCGATGACTTGTATGTCTTCCCTCAAGTCCACAGATGGGAGGTGAGAGGCAGGAGAGGAAAGCCAGGCAGACTGGAGGGAAGTGGATGGGACCAGCCAACTACAAAGTCTCAGGACACAGGCCTAGAACAGTTCCCAAAGCCCTGCAGTCAGAACCAATCAGAGAGTGCCACCTTGAATTGCATGGGGCTCTGGTAGGACAGCCCAGCCCCAAGGCCCGCCTCAGGAAAGATGGCCGCCATGAGGCCTGGGCTGCCGTCCACTTTTCCTGTGGCTTGAAGAGAGGATCTCTTTTCTTACCTTTGGTTGGCCCTGATGTGCTCTACAGAGCATGTTTCTGTACTCTTCTTACTTTTCGTAACTGAAGCCTCACTAACTTTTGCACTTGTCTTGTCCAGTTCCTTGTTTAGCACAGAAAGAGCCTGGAAACCACCTCTGAAAGAAGACTCCTTCCCAGTAAGGGTAAGAGGCAAACAGTTACTTGTGACATCCACGCCCTCAGTCAGCTGACAACAAGTATCAAAACCAGCAGAAATGTGAGTGTCCTGTGTTAGAAGACGCAGGTAGGACAGTGGATTAGGCAGATGATAGAGGGTGGACACTCACACACACACACACACACACACACACACACACACACACACTCACACTCACACACACAGCTGTTGATACCTGTATCTGGAATTCAGCCATCCAGTTAGCTGATGTTCCACAACTCAGGATCTCCCTATCTTTATTGTTATAATTTTTTAATCTCACCTTTAGCCAACTTTCTCTTCCATGACCCCTGTCATACATTTCACTATATCTGATGCCTGGTACAGTGGCACAGGCATGGAGGCCAGAATGGGCTACGTAATGAGTTCTTTGGACTGCATTGTGAGATCCTGTCTCAAAAATGAAAGGCAAAACAAAAACAAAAAGCGCACACCACAGTTGAATCTTTCTAACTTCTTCTCTCTGTAATTGGCAGTTAAGGTGACCTTTCATTGATTCATGAGGTCTTATTCGAAAAAATACAGTGAGCTGACACACGCCTGTAATCCCAGGACTTGGTAGGCTGAGGCAGGAGGATCACCATGAATTTGAGGCCAGCCTTGGGGCCACACAGTGAGTTCAAGTCCAGCCTTAACTACTTAGCAAGACCCTGTGTCAAAAAATTATAGTAAGAGACACGTTACCAAGAGTGTCCCTCAAAATGCTCCCTTTCTCTTTGAACACTTAAATCCTGTTGTTCTAGCCACTTTCTGAAGCAGTTCTGGAATTTGTTTGTTTTGTTTTGTTTGTTATTTGAGACAGGGTCTTACGATGTAATTCAGGCTGGTCCTGAACTCACTATGGGACCCAGACTGGCCTTGAACTTGCAGTGATCCATCCTCCTGCCTCAGCTTTCTGAGGGCTGGGATTATAGGCGTTCAGCACCACGCCGGGCTGGAAGTCCTCTTTCAGGAGTATCTTAGTTGTGCTGTCTTGCGTGCCTCATTGACTCAAAACACTTATCTTTTATGGTCATTTTGCACTGTCTGGTTGGCTTTTGGAAGGAGGGTTTCACTGTGTAGGTCAGGCTGGCATTGAACTCACTATGCAGCCCGGGCTGGCCTCAGAGTCACGGTAACCTTCCTCCCTCAGTCCATGCTGGCCAGATTTGTGAGGATCCTCCTGCCTCAGCCTCCTGAGTTCTGGATTCCTGGTGTGTGCCACAACACCCGGCTCAACCTCCCCCTATTAGGGTACCAGTCCTGTGAGGCCAAGCTGGTGGTAATCGGCTCCACAGAGGCCCTGTGTCCAGATTCAGACTCACTTTTGGGACCCTATGGATTGAGACTTAAACACAGAACCTGGGGACATAGTTTAAAGCCCACAAAGTAGTCTCTGCTATGCAAGTCAGGAAGTGACAGGCTGGTGACAGTAGGCACACAGGGGCAGACAGAAGAACCATCTAACACCGGAAACCAAGGGGCAGAACTTAGATGTAGGGCACTGGGTGGTGGCAGGAATATAAGAAAGCGTGCACAAAATACATTTAAAATCCAGCAGAATGAGACTAAACAGGAGGGCATGCACGCATGTTAATGAGCAGGGTCTTCAGCAAAATTCTCGGTTATGTCTGGAACAGCCAATTTGAAGGAGCAGGAAAGGCTGCAGTACATTTACAGAGCTGTCCTTCAATTATGGTCCTATGGTTTTAAATTCTCCTTCTGAAAGGGAAAGCCTCCAGGCATATGAATAAACTAGCTGTATAGGCCAGGTGTGGTGGCAAACGCCTGTGATCCCAGCACCCCGGAGGCCGAGGCAGGAGGGTTTCTGAGAGTCGGAGGCCAGCCTGGGCCACATCGTGAGACATTGTCTCCAAAACAAAACAATAAAATCAGCAGGAATATCCATTCGGACTAGAAACGCCCACGTGTAAAATCAGATGATCTGTGAGGTACTTTTTTCCTTGCCCTTCACTCCTCCTCTGTGCCACTGCCTGCAAAGTGCTCTGCTGGGACCTCCCAGAAGCGCGCGTCAGGGCGCAGACACCCCCGGAGGTCTCCAGGTGACTCACACTCCAGACTCGGGCCTGTAAGAGTTTGGTTTGGAAAAAAATCTCACATTTCTCACAGAAGATCTCTGTGTGTCACAGGCTCTGCTGCGAAGGTTTCAGTGAGGTGGAGGAACACGAGCACAGCGGCGGGCGACCAAGCAGCACAAGGCACGAACCGCAGGAAGGGAAGCAGCGCAGGAGGACGCTGTTTACGTACCCAGTGGCCGCGCGACGCGGCGTGCTCCGTGGGCTCCGCTTGCTTCTGTGGCCGACGGCAGCCTCTGTTTAAAGGAGATATTTAGAGCTGGGGATGCAGCTCAGTGGTGCTGCCACCTGCCTCACAAGCACAAGGTCCTGTGTTCAATCCCCAGTACAAAAAACAACAAAAAAAAGTTACTGCTTTCCATAAAGGAAGTATTTATAGCTTTGTAATAAAATTGCTGCATGTTTGTTTTTAGTTTTTCAGATGCTGTTTTAAATTTAGCACAAGTCTAATCCAATGGGGGAAGTTTCCCTGCCAACGTGATGGTACAAAGGCCCATTTGCAAGATGCCCTGTTTCCCCTTTAGGAGTTGAGAGTGTGTTTATCTGTTAACAATTCACAGATAAAGCATAAGTGAAAGAAAATACCCAGGAAAGTAGTCAGCTTTGTGATTGGTGATTGATTAATTGATTTTTTTTTTTTTTTTTTTTTGGTATTTTTGATGCAAGGTCTTGCTACACAGCCCAGACTCGCCCAAGTGCTCCTCCTGCCTCAGCCTCCAGAGTGCTGGGATTATGCCAGTGTGGCACCACACCCAACCTTGTTTATTATATTTTAAATGCAGGCAGGGTTTACAGCAGACAACCTGAGAAGCCTGCTTTTTCAAATCAGTCCCGGACCACTGTCTGCTAGTCTGTAACCCAGACTGTACCTAAGTTTCCTGCCGGTTCCTCTTACCCTGTGCTTGCTCCAAAGCCAAGTTCTTTATTCAGCCCCATCTCTCACAGCCAACACCACCCTCTGTTTGTCTGTTATTTGAGACAGTCTCACTGTGTCGTCCAGGCTGGCCTCAAGCTCCTGGTGATCCTCCTACCTCAGCCTCCTAAGCACTGCGATCCCGGGCCTGCGCCACCGCACCCAGCTCCAGGGCAACTATTTTAAAGCTTTAAAAACCTCAGCAAAGTTTTCTCTACCCTTTTCTACAACAGTCTGGCTGATCCAGGTGAGCTTTACTTAGAAACATGAAGCAATCTTTCCTGCAGTAGTCGTACGTCCTAAGAGCGCGGCACATAAAAAACTCCGCGGAACTAACTGAATGTTAAACAGATTCGCGCGGCAGGTGTCAGGCCCCGAATCTGAGCTGTTTTCGAGCTGTTCTCCCAGGGCTCCGTCACCGCTGGGCCACCGCCCGGTTTCCACCAGAGGCTGGAGCGCAGGCGGCACTGGCTCACTGGCCGCCGGCTCTGCCGTGACAGCTTCGCCGGGCTGCCTTCCCCTGGCTGCCTCGGGAAACATCTTCACTCTTCTGCCTTCATCCTCGCCTGGGGATTTTAGAACGTCCGCTTCTGTATGATCTGCGTTATTCTGTCTGAGGTGAGGGCAGTGACATTGTGGCTTTAGTGTTTCGTCGCCTCCTTAATCACTGATTCTCAAACCTTCAGCTGCCACATGTGAGCAGCCGCATCCCCCGGGGTCCTCTCTGCTGCTCCTTGCCCCGTTACCAGGATTTTCACCTCGAGCCTCACCTATACAGCTCGCAGGTGATTAGCTCCTGTCAGATCCCAGTGAAAAAATCAGAATCAAAGCAGTTAATTTCCTTGGGCTATGTGCCTAGCTAACAAATAGCCAGGCATGGGGGCACACCCCTGTCATCCCAGCACTCGGGAGGCTGAGGCAGGAGGGGCCCCACGGGTTCAAGGCCAGCCTGGGCTACATAGAAAGACTTTGACTTTTTACTTCTTTTCTAGTATCTTTTATGTCCCTCAAGGATGTTCCGGCATTTTATGTTTTTGTTTGGTTGTGCTTGGTTTGGTTCGGTTTTGGGGTTTTTTTAAAGACAAGTCTCACTTCATAGCCCAGGCTGGCCTCATACTCTTGGCCATCCGCCTGCCTCAGCCTCACAAGTGAGGGGATGACAGGCATGCGCCACCTCACCTGGCTTCAGCTGTGGCCTTTGAGGAAACCACGCAGGACCCCACTGCTAGAAAGATGAAGTCCCGCTCATCACTGCTCTCCTGACTTAGACACTCCCGCGGGAGCACAGAGTAGCTGCGTCCTTAGGAGACTTCAGAGGAGCTGTGGGCATCGTGTTAAGTAGACCAGACAGGAAGAGGTCACCGTGCTAAGCAACAGGCAAGCACTCTTAATGCCAAGACATGGGAGAAACTGTTGTAAAACCTTTGTTCAACCCTTACGGATGGAAATTACTAACACATACATGAAGATAACAACATGGTTAGTGGAGCAAGCCTGAAGAAATGGTCCGGTGTCTCCAGATTCCACCCAGACCCAGGAATCCTGAATTTTCACATTACAAAATGTAATACGGCCGGGTGTAGTCGTGCATGCCTGTGACTCCAGCACTCAGGAGGCTGAGGCAGGAGGATTGCTGATAATTTAAGGCCAGCCTGAGCTGCCTAGTGAGACCCTGTCTCAAAAAAAGAAAGACATGAGGAAAGAAAGGAACATGTTAGGATAAAGGCGCCTTCAGCCCAGGCTCAGAGGCATTCATCGCCAGCCAGTGTTGTCAGCTGCGTGTATCCGTGGGTTTGGGCACAGTCAGCGTTGCCCTGATTCTCTGACAGTGTGGGCTGAGGTTTGGTCCATCGGGAAGTCTGTCCCAGAGGGGGTCCCAGTGCAGGGACGGACTGTGGTCAGCCAGGGATGCTGAGTAAAAAGGAAGTCGTTGCTTCCAAGAGTCTTGTTTATGTTTTTGAAAAATGGTTTCAGTTTATGTCCCGTTTCCCTTCCTAAGCTCACCCTTCCCAGAGTAAACAGAGGACAAAAAGTGGTGATGTGGGATGGATGGAGGTGGAGGAAGGAAAGAGAGTTCTCCAGGGCAGGAGGGTTTGCAAAGAAACAAATACAACTTCAAAACAAATTCAAGCGCCAAAGCCACATGGCATTTACTCCAGGACCAGCCCAACTTGTAACTGTGAACGCCCCCCTCTTAGAAGCTCCATGTACTGGTTTGCAAAGTGATCAAATGTTGGACGTTTGTAGACTAATTTCGAGCTAAACCAGTGGCTGAGGAACCTTGGGCACACAAATCAATGCAGTTGAATGCGGTTGTCCCCGGACCGGCAGGGAAAGTGAGTTTCCGCTTGGCCAGGAAGTGCTTTTGTTCTGATTCTTTCAAGGGCAGATTCTGAACCATCCTAACTCCAATTATGGCACGGTTTAATGTGGCTGTCACTAGGGTCTGGGGTGCCGTGCTCTTCTCAGGGCTCCTTTCCGGGTTCTTGTGGTCCTGAGCAGATGAGAAAAGTGAAATAGGTGGCAAGGTTTTACACCTAAGGGTATTAAAGGTAGGAAAGAAGCATACTCCGCCGGAAAGCGTGGGCTAACGGTCTCCCCTTTTTGTATCCCCTCCCCCACCATTCTGACGTCAGATGTAGGCCGTCCTATCAAAAATCCGCTTGACTTCACGCCTGAAGATAGCATCCTCTGATTGGTCCGGGTTGCGGGGGTGGGGCGCATGTGTCCTGGATCGCCATGATTGACAGACCATTCCTCTTTACCCAGCTGGCCACCCCCAATCTCTTGACTCAAGGCAACTACATGAAAGGAATTAGTTTACCAAATTTTAAATAAATCTGGGTAATAAGCCAATGTGTAGAATTCCCTTTTTTCCATGTCTACTCCTAGGCCTTAGCTGATCTCCATGGGTTAGAAGTCCCCTTTTCACAGCAGAAGTTTTAATCCTTCGTTCAGGAACATTAGAACTCACAAAAATAGTTCTTTTATACATGTCTACCAAATAAATGTAATCAAATCTAGCAGTAATATATGATGCCATGTATTCCAAAGCAAGATAGCCTCTTGTATTAAATAAACCCCCAGCTACATAGAAAGCACTTGTAAGATTTGATTGTAGTCTGGGCGTGGTGGTGCACACCTGTAATCCCCACACTCAGGAGGCTGAGGCAGGAGGATCATGGTGTGTTTGAGGCCAGCCTGGACCATATGGTGGGTTCAAAAGAAAAAAAACAAAAGAGGGCCAGGGATTTAGCTCAGCGGTTCGGTGGCTTGCCTTGCAACTGCAAGGACCCGAGTTCAATCCCAGGTACCAAAAAACAAACAAACAAAAAGAAGGTATGCCAATATAATAGTTTTATTTTCAAAAATTGAAACTGCAGTGTATGTATAGCCACATCTAGGAATTTACCCAAAATACACTTCCAATATCACAAAAGTGCATATGGATAACATTATTCATTGCTGAATACTAGATGACCTACCTCTTTTGTGTAAAAAAGGAAATGTGAAAAATATATCTGCTTGTTTTCATAAGAAAAAAACAAGAATGATAAAACAAGTGACAGTCTTCTACACAGATGTGCCTTTTAATCTGAATTTTGCTTTTGGAACTGTGTTCCCATTTTATATACTCAAAAATAGTTTGACTAAGCAGGCTGGGAAGCCACTAAGGGAACAAACAGAAACATAGGCGATATTGTATTTCAAAAGGACAGTGTTAACTATAGTGAGGCCAGAAATGAATGGAACATTCACTTTGGGAACACTATTGTGGCTATAAATTCCTAGTTTGGGGATAAAAAGAGGAAGCACTTCTTGATCTCTAGTGAGTGGGTTTGTTTCTCTCCATGGCCCTGCTTAGCACTTTCTCCTCTGTGTGTTTCGTGGGGTTAAGCAAATGGATCGGTGATGTTGACAACCAAATTTCTCCTATGGGAGAAAGGAGATCAAATCACAAAATGGGAAAGGGTCAGAAAAAACCGTGCAGAACTGCATGGCAACTGAACCCAGGGGTTTTTATTCACGTAGTTAGTTGGAAACAGAGAAGGGCGGCACAGGCCGAGGTGTACCCACCCGCCTGTGTTCACCGAAAGGGTCTAAATGCCATCGCACCAGTGGACCCATTGAATTCCTCAGAGACAGCAAATTCCCACAGAGAGCGCTGAGAAAATGGAGATGAGCCCCAACTCATTTTCCAATACCAGAAAAGAAGGAAACACTAAAAGGACACACGAGCCCACTAAAGAAGCCCCTGCAGGCTGAATCTGGGATAATTTGAGTCGAAGTAAATCATGACTATAGGGTATTTCAATCTGTCAAATAGAAAAATATCCGAGTCCATGCAAATAACAACTAATTAACAAGTAAGAAGAGGAAATGTGTCTTTGCAGTTGAAAACGAATAAAGGTAAAATAACGGAGTTTTTCAAAATCACTTTTTGTAACTGCCACAGTAAAATTTGAATCCGAGGATTATTAGTGGATATTAAAGTCAATGGATAAAATCTAAAAATCAGAGTACGTACAGGGTCTGATATGTCTAATCAGACGTAACATAAACCAGGGCGAAATGGCATCTTTATAGAAGAGAAACCTGATGAACACGAACTTAACCAACTCGGCAGCAACGATAAGAGCACGAATGAATACTACGGGCTTCCAAATAGGACAGCGGACAAATACCACTACTGCATGAACTTAGTCGGGAGGAAATGGCACGCAAACCCTCGTGAAAAGACAGCCTACAAGGCCCAGGGATTTAGCTCAGTGGTGCTGTCGCCTGCCTTATAAGCATAAGGTCCTGAGTCTGATCCCTAATGAGAGAGAGAGAGAGAGACTACAAAACAAGAGACCATCAGCTACATCTTCACAGATCCCTTGAATAAAGCCTGCCTTTCCCGGAAAGGTTTTGATACTTTTCTCCATTTGCGCGAAGTACATCTGCTGGGGTAGTTTTCACAGGTGAAATTACTGCTGAAAGTTATGTACATTTTTATTTTACTAACTATTGCCTACTTGCTAAACACAGAGAGTTTTATGACAAGACTGATGCTGAACTGACTCGGTTTACGAGTGAGATCTGTTCCTCTCACTCTTCCTTTTGTGTAGATAGGTGGCGAGCAGAAAAATGCAGCCCAGGATTAGGAAAGGGGAATAAATGTAGCAAGAAAGGCACAACATGGCACAAACCTCACAAAGTAACTTTAAAATAACAGCATAGAGGGATTTAGCTCTGTGGTTGTGCTGCCTGCCATGCAAGGTCCCGAGTTGAATCCCCGGTACCAATAAACAGTTAAACAAATAAATAAACGATAGAAAAAAGTTAGGAGGAGAAGAATAATTAAATTTATGCAACATAACTTTAAGCTAAGGAAAAATACAAAACTTTATTTTCTGATTTTCCAACAGAAAACATCATGTACATCTCACCAAACTGTTTTATACATTGTTAAATAATAGTTTGAAACGTGGGTAAATATGTCTTCAGTTGTAAAATTTCAGAGACAGGCTGTGCTTTTTCCTGATAAAAGTCAAGACCGGTAAGAAGTTCTACGTCACGAACACGGGCAACGTGTGCTTTAAATCGTTCTTCAACCCAGAGGTCTTCAGTCTTATTTCCCTGAAGAGAAAAAAAAAGAAACACAAGGCATAATTTTTTCATTAACAGAAAGACTTTTTATTACTTTGGTGTCTTTTATTGCCTTAAATCTTAATTTGATACAAATTAAATTTAGTTGTTTAATAAAATAAAAAGTACAAAATATAAGAAACACAAGCCAGCCAGGCATGGTGGCGCATGCCTGTAATCCCAGCACTCAGGAGGCTGAGGCAGGAGGATCACTGTGAGTGCGAGACCAGCCTGGGCTACATAGTGAGTTCCAGGTCAGTCTCAACTACATAGTGAGACCCTGTCTCAAAAAAACAAACAAAAAACAAAACAAAACAAAAAAAACCCAAAAAAAACACAAGCCACCATAAAATTTAGCATTTTTCTTTTTAATTTTTCGTTTTGTTATTTTTTTTTTTTTCTTTTGAGACAGGGTCTCACTGTGTAGTTGAGACTGACCTGGAACTCAATATGTACTTCATGCTGGTCTCGAACTCATAGTGGTCCTCCTGCCTCAGCCTCCTAGGTGCTGGAATTACAGGTGTGCACCACCATGCCCAGCTTAATTTTTCTCTTTTTTGAGACATGGTCTCACTATGTGCTTCAAACTGGTATTGAATTCAATATGTGGCTCAGGCTGGCCTCGAACTCATGGAGATCCTCCTGCCTCAGCCTTCCCAGAGTTGGGATTACAGGCGCCACCACACCCAGTTCTGCTGTTTTTATATTTACTTCAGATATGTTTTTAAAAGAAATATGTATATTACAGATGAAGTTAAGCCCTCAAAGTTTCTTGGTTCAGAGCCAAATATTACTATGAATTGGTGTGAATCCACTACTTTTAAAACTTTTAGCACACATCAATATATAATATATAGTACTGGTTTATGAGTTTTCAACTTTATATAAACAACATTATAAGGGGTATCTTCCATTTAGTTTTCGTTGGCTTGTGTGTTTGTGATCTACCCACAGTGCTCTGTCTAGGGAGGTCTAGGGAGGTAGTTGCAAGCTCTAGTGTGAGGTGCTCCCTTGTTTTTATGTAGCAGCTGGTTGCTCCCTGAAGCCGACTGCAGGACTTTCGCTCCTGGAGGACACTGTAAGGAGTACTGTGGCACCTGCCTCCTCACGGGTGAGAGCACAAATGTCTAAGACACAAGAATGAAACAGTCACAAAGTGCATGCGATTATAACTTTACCAGAGTTGAACCTCGCTTTCTCAAAGTGCTGGTGACAGTGTCCCCTCGCACAGGCAGACGATGACCCCCAGGACCCCAGTCTCTGCCAAACTATGGCTGTTAAGTAGCATTCTATGCCTGCGTACATTTTATCACCCTGAGTATTATTACAGCTCAGTACCTTTTCAGATTATTTCTTGGGCATTTGTGACACTGTTTTCCGTTACTGTCCGGACAGCCCTATTTTCGGCCAATCGTCCCTCCAAACACCTTCTGTGGCCAAGGCAGCCATAGAGCCGGCTGATCCCTTCGAGGAGACCCGCGGGCCCCAAGCGCTCACTTCTGGTCTCCAGCACTCCCGGGGACTTTAAAGGAGACACATGCAGCCTGGACAAAGCTGAGTGCAGCCTCCAGTCTCCCTGCCAAAAAGTCCTGATTCCTCCTTTTGCGTATTACCTAATTATCTGCACGTGAAACCTCTGACTGGTCCTTCGGTTTCACTTTTCCGTTGGGCCTTAAATCCACCAATTTCGCTCCGTTCTTCGCAGCCTTTTCCTGGTCTTCCCCGTGCCACTGCTTCTTCAGGGCCCAGCTCTGTACCACCTTACGTTATGTGATCTTTACTGATCATTCAAGCCAACTGTCAAATGCTTTTAACGCAATTTCACAACTGAGCACGCATTTGCGACATTTCCTAATTACTTTTGTTTGCGTTTTGTTTTTTGAGACGGAGTCTCACTGTGTAGTTCAGGCTGGCCTTGAACTCGCGGCAATCCTCCTGCCTCAGCCTCCTGAGTGGTAAGGTAATAGGTGTGTACCACCACACCTGGATTTTCTTAATTTTTAAAATAATTTTTGTGTCATAAACCGGCCCATTTATATGCTTGTACCTCATTTACGTGTCAACACTATATATGAACTTATTTTTTTAGCACATAATGATTATACACCTTATATGTGGTTGGTACATGAACATAACCCATCTTAATTCTTTTTTTTTCATCTCCTTCATGGAAGGAACAATGTATGCTCTCTGCGTTCTAAAGAGTTTCTATCATGATATTTTATGTGCTTAAGAGGTGCTCAACTTACTTATTGAATAACTTCAATAAAACCCATGCCCAGTATAGTTTTTCTATGAAAAATATATGTTTAAGTTGCAGTAAACACTTACACATAAGTTGTCTTGGTTCAAAAAAATCTTGAGGCAGTCAAAAAGTGATCTGAGTTGAACCAGTTTATCCCCCTGCACATGTGTGTGCATGTTCATGTGTGTTTGTGCATGCATGTGCATAAGTGTGGAACAGTCCACGCTTCTGTTGGAATACTGACATTTACCTATCCTTTCAGGAAATATTCAATGTGCTAGAACCTTAAGACTTGTATTCAGAATAAAAAATTAATGGTATAATCTCTTCCCTAGTGAGTATGAACAAAATACATACAAATCAAATGTATAAGAATGTATCCAGGTTTGGTGATGCACACCCGTAATCCCAGCACTCTGGAGGCTGAGGTAGGAGGATCACCATGAGTTCGAGGCCAAGCTGAGCTACATGGTGAGTAGCTGTCTCAAAAAATAAAATGAAACAAAAGACACGCAGACATAAATACATGTTCACATATGCAGATACACTTTTGATATTAATTATACAGAGATCAGTCTTTACAGAAAGCCCCTTACAGAAACATGAAGTCACTTTTACTACAGCTCTCCTGTGGAACACTGAAACAGCCATTCCTACGGAAGCCCACAGGACCACTACATAGCCAGTCCTACGGAAGCCCGCAGGGCTCTGCCTAGCCCTCATCCCCAGCCACTCACCGGGCAGCTCTCTAAATTGGTGGGCCGGTGAGGGATGATGAAGGGCAGGACATCCAGCAGTCCGGGGCAGCTGGCGGGCGCGGCGCTGCTGTCCTTACAGCTCGTCAGCACCACGAAGTAGTGCGTGGGGATGGGGACGCTGCTGCCGCCCACGTGTCTGCAAGCGAAATGGAGACGGTTCCTGCTGTGCTCTGGCTTGTGGGTTATAACTGCCATTGTGCAGTTGCAAAGAAATGCCAGGGTGACAGAAAGTGATAGATGGGGAGTATGAAGTTTCACCATATTATTTCTTTTACTTTAATCAGCCAGTGCAGAGATTTATAACTGTAGACATCTAAGTTTGGTCTTTCTAACATTATGGGAAAATACCAGGAGTGTGTGTGTGTGTGTGTGTGTGTGTGTGTGTGTGTGTGCTTGCGCACGCGCATTACTGGACATCAAACTCAGGACTTTGAGCTCGCCAGGCAGGGGTGGCACCACTGAGATACATCCTCAGCTGGAAACAAATAAAAAGGTATAGAATTCTGCCTCATGTGTTCCTTTTTTTCTTTTTCTATTTTCATTTTTGAGTCAGGATCTCACTATGTAGCCCAGGCTGGCCTTGAACTTTTGGCGATCTTCCTGTCTCAGCCTCCCCTGTGCTGGGATTAAAGACATCACTACCATGCCTGGCTTCCAAAGTGCCCTAGTTTTGTTGATGTCATGCTTCACAGGGGAGTTTTCTTATAGAGCAGGAACTGGGATTAAGTAGCACTTGGAATCACCCCTTAGATATCCGGGTGCTTAATCTAGGGCTGAGCACCCTCAGACCCAGTGCTGTCAGCTCCGTGACGGCATGGGGTGAAAGCCAGACAACTGTGAGGCAGTGCTTCTGTTTCAGACACAAACGTTAAAGTGCTCTCAGACGTTTCCATTTCAAAATATACGGAAGGTATTGGTCTGAGTCACTGAAAGGAACAAGAGCCGACGTGGGATATTGTTGCCACGATTTAGAACATGGGCCCTCGAGGTTGGGTCTACTGGTAGCTGTGGAATTCAGACAAGTTGTTTTTCTCCCCCACTTCGGTACTGGGAATCGAACTCAGGACCTTGTGCTTATGAGGCAGGCAGCGGCACCACTGAGCTACGTCCCCAGCCCTCACACAAGTTCTTAACCTGGCCATCCTCGAATTCTCATCCTCAGCTGGGGCAGGGCACCCTGACATAGGGCTGCTCTGTAGGTTAAATTTGGGTTTAAGTATTATTTGCCATTCTTGTGAAATTCACTGAGGTAAACTTAGTCTTTGATTTTTTTTTCATTTATGATTAGACTGGTTCTACACTGATGGTAAAACACCGAGAGTTCCCAATCTCCCTCACCTTCATAAAATCTTATCTTATCCTTACTTGTCAGTTTAGAAATTTTTCAGATAAATCTCTGGGATTTTTTTCCCCATTAGTTAAAATTTTTCCATATAATATTTTTATCTATCTAAATATTTACATAGATTACACTGGAAATAATAGACAATAACATCTGAATAGTAATATATTCCATAATAGGGACACAGAGCTCCTATTTAAAATGTTGGGATTTCCCCTCAGGATATCAGATTGCTAAATCCAAAGGCCAGATTACTTACTCTGTAATTTCACTCGGAGAATCCAAATGGCCATCATAATTATAATCAAATATCGGTCCACTGACCACATTGATTCCATTTCTCTCCACGGCATATTTTACAAGAAGAACATTATGGAAGTAGTCCCACATTTCTAAAATTAAAAGAATACGGCATTAAAGATATCTACCTCTGGGGAACGTGGAAATATCTTCTATCCTAGACGGCTACACTGAATGGCATCACACCTTCCTTGAGTAGTTATCAGTGATGACTGGGTCATGCTGTGAGTAGTCCACGTAACAAAGTTAATCACACATCTGTCCCTCAGCACTTGAGAGGCTGAGGCAGGAGGACAGCCTGGACTCCGGGAGTTCAAGGCCAGCCTGAACTACAAGGTGAGACCTTGTCTCAAAAGAACCATAAATTAATGACTTAATTATTAATAGTCATGTTGATGGTAGCTTTTTGTTGTTTATAGGCTCCATCTTCAACGTATAGTTAAGAATCTCTCTAGTTTCCTTCCTAATGCTGAGTTGCCTGCGGACTGACGAGTGCTAAAATTGTACAGGACACATATGCTGGCTTACTGAGTTTTACTCTGAGGACATTTACCTCTCATTTTACTTATGATGAATGCCAGTAAATTTTAGTTTTGTGAATAACTCATTACAGTTAAATGGAGGGTTAAAAATTATCAGGATTCTAGCACCAAATCACTCCCATTTGAAGCTGAAAATAAACTGAGCCAGAAAAGCTTCTGTACCCACTTGTATATTTAAAACATCAGAACAAAATGACTCAATATCAGTAGCAAACAGCCCGATAATGCATTGGAAGTTCACGGTGTCACGGGGAATTCAAGATTAACTGTTTAAATACACACTTACTTTTGAACTCTTCATACATAGGGACCAAATTACTCGTAATTAAAGCATCATATTGACCATCGGCAGTTTTACTATTGGCTGCAAAACAAATATATTTTATTAAATCTAGGTAAGAAAAAAATGTCAAACTGCATACTAGCTCGGTTACTATTCCGTGTGGATCTAAGTTTGTTTATAATCAAATCTCAGAGATACTGGGCTCTTTCCAATAGAGACCATGGGCAACACAGGCAGCTCTAAACATGGATTCTTGTCCTGGGCTGACCTCTTACCTGTGACTGCAAACTCGTTTGGAAATGGAGTCTTTCTAGGTATAAAGAATTGGGATGAGATCCATGTGGATTTAGAGTGAGTTCTACAATGAATAACCAATGTCCTCATAAGGAGAGGGAGATTTGAGAAAACACAGAGGGATGACATTATGTGAAAATGAACAGAGAGCTGAGAGTAATAAATGCCACGTAAACCATGCAGTGCCTAGAGCCGCTGGGAGCTGGAAGAGGGAGGGAAGAGCTCTCCACCATAGCTTTCAAAGACATCACAGCTGTGTAAACACGCTGACGTTGTCTTATTTATTGATTGTTTTAGCTCCTTGATAGAGTCTTGTTCTATAGCTCAGGCTGGCCTTGAACACATTATGTGGCCCAGGCTGGCCTCAAACATCAGAACAAAATGATCTCACAGTGATCCTCCTGCCTCAGCCTCCTGAGTGCTGGAATTACAGGTGGGTGTGCTACCAAATGGACAAAGGATTCCAGATTTCCTACCTTCCAAAACTGTGAGAGAATATATTTCTGCTGTTTTAAGTAAACAACATGTGTTAATTTATTACAGCAGTCCTAGGAAACAAACACAAGGCTTTATATACATGAATAATTATTGACTGTGCAAAAAATAATGTTATAAGTAACTTCCAAAGCAACATTTTCTTATGAAAATGAGCTCTTTCTCAATGAAGACTGCTAACGGAAACATCACCTAGCACAGTGAGTGTTAAGCAACTGTGCTATTAAGTGTTTTCTAAAAGCTTTTATTTAGATGAGAATACTTAGCACAAAATCTGTGCACACATTTTTAAGTGTAAAAAACTATACTGTTGACTCTAGGTGTGGACTAGTCCATTTTGTGCAGCTCTAATGAAATACTTGAAGCTGGATAGTTATAAAGAAAAGAGGTTATTCAGCTCTTAGTGTTGGAGTCTGACAGTCCAAGACTCAGGGAGCCACAGATTTTTCGCCGGTGGTCCCACGATGGAGATAAACAGAAGTGGTCTCTTGCAGAAGAAATCGCACAGAGAGGCAGGAAGCCAGAGACTCAGGGAGGGTTCTGTAGTGCTATTTTTATAACAACTCACTCACTCCCAGACACCAGGGTCAGTCTTCTTCCGGGTCAGCACCCCAGTGACCTAATCACCTCCCACTAAGCCCCACCTCTTAAAGGTCCCATCACCCCCTATCACTTCCAGCTTGGAAACCCAGCCTCTAGGGTGGGAACTCCAGGGAGCAGAGTGGTCAAGCCACAATGAGGTTCAGCGTTATGCAGAAAGTCTCTAGAGCTTGCCCATTGCGCTTGACAAACTTCATGCCCAATGATAATAACTTGCACTTGCCTCCTACCCCAGACCCTGGAAAACACCATTCACTCTCTGATTCTATGAATTTAACTGTTTTGGATTAGTTAGTATTCGACAATACGGGTGAACCTCAAAGACACGATACTAAGTGCAAATAAACCAGTCCTAGACAAATACCGTATGATCCCATTTCTATGAAGTAACTATTGTGACCTGTTTCATCTTTAAGCTCGACCTGGGTATCCCGCCTAAAGCTTACATGAGAGGTCAATGGGCAGGCACCAAAAGGCAAGGAGAATAAAACTCTACACTGTGTTCACAGTACAGGCAGCACTCATGCAATGCGGTTCCTGCAGAGAGGTTTTAAATGAACTGGCCACTAAAGGAGCAATTGCATGTCCTGTGTCCGTACGATATTCAGAACAGAGAAACAGCCAAAGGAAACTCCGACTTTGCTTTTCTTTGTGTAACTCTTACATGCAGTACTGTAATGCATAACAGAATGTAAAACTACACTACTGTATGGGACAGTACCACCAGCAAAAATCACAGTACTGTGTAGACAAGGCGCACTGTCCAAAACACAGACTTTGAGGCTCCACAAGCAAGATTCACAGAGCCATAGCAAAAAAGAAAAAACTGAATAAAGAAGATGCTGGAGGCTGGAGAGCAGTGGGTTACAAGTCTGGACAGACTGATCTAAGTCCAGACAGTCGCTAACACCTATCTCCTTAGGCAACCAGTGCCTGTACTCAGACCCCGACTATTCCCCTTTCCAAACTAAGCCCGGAAAAGCGGAAGGGCCCTCGACATCCATTGCAGAGAAAAAAATAAGAATTTACTTCTCATTTCTATGTCCAGTAAACAGAATTCAGAGTGGGAAGTTTCATTTTATCCTTAACAGTTTGAGCTAATTGTATAGTTATTTCATTTCCTAGTCATTGCAAACACAAGTATCTCATAGCTCAGTGGCTACAAGCTTACATGCAAATTTTAAAATTTTTACTGATAAAATACTGCAACTTTTAAAGCTTTATCCTATGACACACATAAATTTGGGAGCCCCAATTATACCTAGGTGCGTAAATATTAGTTGACCCTAATTCTGCATCAGAGATTTAGAGTCGATATTCTTCCAATTAAGCTTTTTCTTACTATAAAACTCAGAATCTTTAAGGTAGAGATCTAAGTTGACTGTCTTTGGTTATGGCTTCAAGAAAAAAATGAAGCCATGTATAGAGTAAACTCATTCCCAAAAGCTGAACTTATTGAAAACCTTATAAAAATGCTATTTCCTGCTTTAAAAGGAAGACATGTGAATTTTTAGAAAATTTAAACTGGGTGTGGTGGCGCACACCTGTAATCCCAGCACTCGGGAGGCTGAGGCAGGAGGATCCCTGTGAGTTCTAGACCAGCCTGGGCTACACAGTGAGTTCCAGAGCAGTCTCAACTACATAGCGAGACCCTGTCTCAAAAAAACAAAACAAAACCTTGTGTCAGAAAATTTATACTGGCTTTTGTGTATTCCCAAGAGAAATCCTTAAGAACAAAACACACCCTGACTTGCTGCTTAACCACGTTCAAAGCTGTTACACATGTAATGAACCTTGGGCCACAATTCCAGCCCATCTGCTTTTCATGGAAACAGCTGCATTTTCAATGCAGACCTTAGTTTGGGGCAGTAGCCAGAGGGGGGGAGAAAGTGTTTTTAGATGCTTGTGTTGCTCTCCCGAGGCTTCAGTTTTAAAATTAAACTTAAACCTGCCGAACTCTACACATCTGGGCCAGATTAGCGGTGCCGTGCGCTCCGGGGCAGCAGCAGGGCCTTCAGGAAGCCCACAGCCCGGAGCCTGGGCTGCCGGCTCAGCCCTGCGGGGCTCTGGAGGCGGGGAAGTGTCCACACCCCGGGCCCACAGCCCGCTTTCTGAGCGGCCGCTCCACAGGAGCTCTACTCACCCGGCGGGTAGAGGAAGCCGTGGGTGACATTCCTGTCTGTTAAGTAGAGGGAACACTTTTGGCTCTCGGAGGGAGCAACCCTGACATCAGCCCGCAGACAGTCTGGGAGAGTGGGTGGAAGAGCCGATGTGTCTCCCTGTGGAGAGAGAGCAAGGAGAGAAAATAATTACACCCACAGCTGCGGCTCACCCAGCCCTCGTGGTGTGCAACTTCCCGGAGTGTTTTGCTCTTAACCTCTTCCTATTTTCTTAGTGAATCAGGTCTGCACAGCAATGGACATGGGTGTCCGCAGCCATGCTTTCTCCTATGGCTCTCTTCCGGCCGGGGAGCCTGGGGGTCCGGGATCAAACAGGCTTGGCAAGGGGCACTGCAGCGTCAAACCAGGGGGCTGGGCTTATTGCTGAACACCAAGGCCGGGCCAGGACCCGACTCTTGCATGGAGATACAGACTGCACGTGCAAATAAAGTGAACATAAAGTAGGAATAATTTATTTTGCAGATGTAGATAGGGACTTGCTATGTTACTGTTTCGCTGGGCAAGGATTTCTAATCAACCTAAAATTAATTCCAAAAAGCTACAGTTGTCCAAACATTTGGCTATTTAAATAAGTTCATAGCTATGCTATGAACTTATTCTGGGGCCTTATTCTGAACTGGTTCTGGGGCCTGCCTTGCAAGCACAAGGACCCAAGTTCAATATCCCATACCAAAAAACAAACAAACAAAATAAAACAAACAAAAAACAAGAAAGAGCCAGGCATGTTGGCACACACCTATAATCCCAGCATTCAGGAGGCTGGGGCAGGAGGATTTCTGTGAGTTTGAGACCAGCCTGAGCTACACAATTCCAGGGCAGTGTGAACTACATAGTGAGACCCTTTCTCAAAAAAAAAAAAAAAAAAAA